CATGAGCTTGGCCTAGGATCACACCCGATTAGATTTTCACTGCCCCTTCCCTTCCTGCAGCTCTGAGGTAAAGCTGCCAACTGCCCCTTGGGGCTCAGCCAAAGAGGAAAAGAAAAGTGAAATTGCCTAACCAACTGACGTAGGTGCACCAACTCTACAGTCCTCCCTCCACCCAATCTCCATGACGTCCCTCAGTCAAGGGAGGAGGAGCAAAGCCAGCCCCACGAGGCCACAGAAGACGGGGTCACTTTTTCCTGCCAAGGAAAGAGGGTTGTAAAGTCATTCAACTCAAGCAAGTCGAAGTTGTTTTGAGGTAAGATGCCTTCATGAGGAGGAAGTAAACTCCATATTTGTCCCTATCCCTTGCTGAGGTGGCTGAGAAGGACGAGTGAAGACCAGGCATTTCAAATCTTCAGTCAGGCTCCAGGGCTGGCCATGCACCTTAGTGAGCCTGGGCTGGATGGGTTAGGCCCAGTGATTGGACATGGGGCCAGAGAGAACTGAAATACCATGCATTATAAAGTAGGGGAGATGCTCTTAGCACTCCATGAAAGCAGACAGAAGTAAAAGACAACTATCTCAACTCCTCCAACCAAATGCAAGTGCAGAGGTTGGGCAGAAAAGTGAGGTGCATTTCTAAGTTTTCTCAAATATATGGGCACTTCACAACTGCAGCCAGGGGTGACTGGGAGAAAACTGAGCTTCAAGCATTTCACTGAAATTTTGAGGAAAGTGACAGCCTTCTCATTGGATGGGGAAATGGTTTGGAGCTGAGATTATCTAGACCCTCAAGGACAATATGATACAGGAGGATAGCTGTATTACATTTGTGTTTACACACAATTTTTCATTTATACCCAGCCCTCATTCTGTAAAGGATTTGAAACAATTTACAAAAACACACTATAGTAGCATAAAGTCCAGTGATAAACAAATGGAAGCAAAGGGCAAATATCAAAAATAAAACCACAGGACTAAAAATCCAGGCAGAAAAATGGGTCAAAGACAGGGAGCTGATGAGAGCCGGGGTATGGGTAGAACCCAGGGCCAGTGACAGAGCAGTAGTGAGGATTAAAAAGCCAGAGGCAAAGCAGTATTTTTCCAAAAGATGTGCTCCCGAATGCTACTTTTTCTGGCTCATTACACATATGCAAGGAAATCTGCTTTTTATAAGTTTGCAAATTATAGAGTGCAAGAAATTTCTACCCCTTTCTCACTTCTGCTTTCTTTCTACCAAAGGAACAAAGACCAATCTGGTCGCGACAGACTCCAGAACACTGATGAGGACACCTTTTCCAGTAGGCAGGGTCACTGTGCCTACCAGGTCTTGCATATGTCTGGATCTCTCTCTCTCACACCCATGTTTGCTCATGACTCCCAAATTCCTGACTCTGAATGCTAATGGGGACATTCACTGCTTTTATGTCCAATTATGTCAGATAACCAATCCCAGATTGATCATATTTCCTTGAATATCTCTTGCCTATAATTCAACCTCTGGTACTCAACATTTTTATCAGTCAGGATTTGGGAGTAAAAATAATCCAAACTGACTGTGGCTAAAACTCAGGCAAAAAGTCAATTTCTTAGAACTATATTGGGTAGCTCACAGAATGTATGGGAAAGCCAGAGGACTAAGTTAAGAAAGTAGGCAGTCTAGGCAGGTCATATTAACTCACTTGTCCTTTGTTATAATATAGTTGAATGATATCTGGATCACCTGAACATCCCATAGAATGTCAGACTGGGCTGGGCATGGTGGCTCACACCTGTAATCCCAGCTCTTTGGGAGGCCGAGGCAGGCAGATCATGAGGTCAGGAGATCAAGACCATCCTGGCCAACATGGTGAAACCCCGTCTCTACTAAAAATACAAAAATTAGCTGGATATGGTGGCGTGCACCTGTAGTCCCAGCTACTCGGGAGGCTGAAGCAAGAGAATCACTTGAACCTGGGAGGTGGAGGTTGCAGTGAGCCAAGATCACACCACAGCACTCTAGCCTGATGACAGAGCATGACTGTGTCTCAAAAAAAAAAAAAAAAAGAATGTCAGACTGATTGATGACACTGGTGACAACATGCTGATCAGACAGGATGAGCAAGATCTTGGCGGCCAGCATACCAGCAAAAGAAGAATAAATTACTGACCCACAATAGCAGGGATGAATCTCAAAAGCAGGATGATGAGGAAAAGAAAGCCATACACCAAAAGTGCATTCCATGTGCTTTCATTGAAAAAAAACAAAACAAATAAAAACACCTTAATACACACAAAACTAATCTTTGGTGACAGAAAGCAGATCAGTGGTTGCCTGGTGCTGGCCTTAAGGAGGGGATTATCTGCAAAGGGCACAGGGACCTTTCTAGGGTAACAGAAATGGTGTGTACCTTTTTTTTTTTTTTTTTGAGACAGGATCTCACTCTCTTACTGCTCACCAGACTGGACCTCCCGGGCTCAAGCTATTCTCCCACTTCTGTCTGCCTGGTAGCAGGGACCACAGGTGTGTACCACCATGCCCAGTTAATTTTTAAAAATGTATTTTTGTACAGATGAGGACTTGCTCTGTTGTCCAGGCTGGTCTCAAACACCTGGGCTCAAGCAATCCTCCTGCCTCGACCTCCCAAAATGCGGGGATTATAGGCGCAAGCGACTCTCCCAGCCTAGAAATGGTCTGCATCTTGACTGGTGTAGTACTTACATTTGGTAAAATGTACATTACAATGAATAAATTTTATACCTCAATAAACTGGGGCTAAAAAGAATTGTATATAATTTTAATAGATTCTCAGCACATAATCACTAGCATGTGAATTAACAGATGAGGTGAATTAACAGATGAGGTTTTCCCATTATTACCATGTTGTCAAGCATGTTTTTTTTTTTTTTTTGAGGCGGGGTCTCACTCTGTTGCCCAGGCTGGACTGCTGTGGTGCAGTCTCAGCTCACTGCAACCTCCAGCTCCTGAATTCAAGCGATTCTCACGCCTCAGCCTCCTGAGTAGCTCGTATTACAGGCATGTGCTACCACGCCCAGCTAATTTTTTTGTGTTTTTAGTAGAGATGGGATTTTGCCATGTTGGCAAGGCTGGTCTTGAATTCCTGGCCTCAAGTGATCTGCCTGCCTCAGGCTCCCAAAGTGCTAGCTAAGCTACAGGCCTGAGTCACTGTGCCCAGCCAAGCATATATGGCTTAGAATAAACATCTTTCATCCTCATTCACAGCTGTCTTTTTTTCATGTAACAATTTTTGCCTGATTTGACATTGACTTTATTTTCCCACTCCTGTTTTACTTTTGTTTGTTTGTTTTGCATTTGCCTGGTAGATCTCTGAAGAGATCTAAAGGAAGAAGTTCTTGCTGCCAGGCTCCTCAGATGCCCATGAAGGGGCTATCCAGGTGATGTGGAGGGTAAGTGACATGTGACATTTGCATAAAATAACCTTAATTCTTTAATTCTTTTACCACCGCCATCCCCTGCATCACAGCACCGTATGTTACTGCGTGCTGAGGCATCAATGCACCCTCTCCTCAGCTGTCAGCATTGCATTTTTCCTGGCGTGTCTTCCTTGCCTCTGTTTCACCCACAGCCATTACCTGCAAAGCCGGTCTGCTATTCTGTACATACTTGGGTGGGATACGCTGTGTTTGTTCCTGCATAGAAGGGCTTGCTCTTGTGCAGTTAGTCTTGGTTTCAAAGCTTCTTAAACTTTAGATCCATGTCTGCCATCTTTCATCTGAGGAGTTTGTGGGTGTCCTGGTAGGGGAACTTGGGGGTCCTATACATTTGAGAATTATTGATTTAATCAAACTTACATAGATTTCTTTTCTTTTTTCCCAAGATGGAGTCTTGCTGTGTCACTCAGGCTGGAGTGCAGTGGTGCAATCTCAGCTCACTGCAACCTCAACTTCCTGGGTTCAAGCGATTCTCCTACCTCAGCCTCCCAAGTAGCTGGGATTACAGGCTCACGCCACCACATCCAGCTAGTTTTTGTATTTTTAGTAGAGATGTGGTTTCACTGTGTTGGCCATGATGGTCTCAAACTCCTGACCTCGTGATCTGCCCGCCTTAGCCTCCCAAAGTGCTGGGATTACAGGCGTGAGCCACCATGCCTGGCCCAAAGTTACATAGATTTCTATAGTGCAGTGGTGCAATCATAGCTCTGCGTGGCCTTGAACTCCTGGGCTCAAACAAGCCTCCAGCCTCAGCCTCCTCAGTAACTAGGACTACAAGGTACATGCCACCACACTCAGTTAATTTTTTATTTTTTTTATTTTTTATAGAGATGGGGTCTCACTATGTTGCCCAGGCTGGTCTCAAACTGCTAGGCTCAAGCAATCCTCCCATCTTGGGCTCCTAAAGTGCTGGGATTATAGGCATGAGCCACTGTGCCTGGCCAATAGTTAAGGATTTTTCATAGGCCCCACATGTCAATGTATATTAGGGATCTTTAAAGGGGGCACGAGAAGGGGTGTCCCTGCCAGCCCTTGAGTTGCTGCTCTGGAATCAGCAGGCCCCAGCTCTGCTTCAGACTCCCGGCACCCAACTACCTGCCCAGCTCTCAGCCATTTTTCTGCCTGGAGGTCTGCCTGCCTCTGCACAATTCCAGTTCATGTGCAGGTTCCCTTGCATTTCAATTTCTTCATGTAATAATCTTATCCTGACAAATTCTAGGCATTTCTGGCACATTCTCTTTTTTGTGTGTGCTGTTAGTTTGATAACACACTGGATAAATTCCAGTGAATTTATTCAGTTACGTAAACATCACCACAATCCAATTTGAGAACATTTTCATCAACCTAAAATGTACAGAATGAGGACAAGTCATGGGAAAATAGATGTGGGTAGGGAAGCAGTTGGACGCTGAGTTCCCCATTCCCACTGCCGCTGGGGCTGGACCCCTATGCCTCCTCCTCCCATACGCCTCTCTCTGGGCTGATCCCAGCTGGCAGTACGCCCTCCCCCAAACCCCAACTGCCAAGACGTCCTGGGAGCCTCACAAGCGCCCATGAGGAGGCGGAGAGAGGCTGCAGGCACTGACCTGCCTTCAGCTTCCTGCTTGGCAAACTCTGAAAACTTTCACTTTTCTTTTCTCTGAAGCCCGGCCCCTTACTGCGTTTGTCAAAGCACGGACTTCCTGTTTTGCCTGCTACCATCTCCCTGTAACTCTCCCAACCTTCGAGGAGTGATCCCCGGCTCAGCTCCTGGAAAGGGGCAGGAACGACAAACTCAAAGTCCAGGTGAGTTTCTGTCTTTGCTGCTTTATTCTTCGCCCTTGGCGACTGCAGAGGCGACTGCAGTTAACTTCCCGGCAGCAGCTGCAGGGTGGAGTTCACTTATTTAAACTCTGAGGGTCTGTCAGAGCTCAAGCACGTGGTACTTATTAGGAGACTGTTAAAAGGGGGCACATGGAGGGAACACTGACACCTCTTTTTTTCGCCATAGAGTCCAGCCTGTTACTGTGAATGGAAACGAGATTTGCCCTCTATCCTCACCTAAGCTCTGATCCTACACTGCCGGCAATAGGCGGCTCATCTGTTATCCGTTGTGTAAATGGCTAGAGGTATTTGGGAAGCTGGTGGAAAAGAAAAAATGAGAGTACATTTAATTTCCTCTCTAGTGTATCGTGAACTTTTTATATATTTTCTCTAAACACACTCATGATTATTTCCTTGAAATAAATTATTAGAAGTGGAAATTCAAAGGGGCCCATGTTTCAGGGCATTGGACACTGATTACTGAATCAGCCTCCAGAACATTTGGACCTGTTGACCTTCCCACTCACAGTGTCTGAGATTATTGCTATTATTTTCTATCTTGGCCAATTTGATAGACAAATATGTTATCAAATTGTCTTCATTTACGCTTTGTTGTTGTTGTTTTGAGACGGAGTCTCGCTCTGTTGCCCAGGCTGGAGTGCAATGGCACCATCTCAGATCACTGCGACCTCCGCCTCCTGGGGTCAACCTTCTGCCTCAGCCTCCTGAGTAGCTGGGACTACAGGTGTGCACCACCATGCCCAGCTAATTTTTGTATTTTTAGTAGAGACAGGGTTTCACCATGTTGGCCAGGCTGGTCTCGAACTCCTGACCTCAGGTGATCCTCCCACCTCAACCTCCCAAAATGCTGGGATTACAGGCATGAGCTACCATGCCTAGCCTTCATTTATACTTTCTACCAGCTAGTTAACATGCTTATCGTATATTCATTGCACATTTGGCTTATTCTTTTATCACTCTTTGTTCATGTATTTTGCTTTTTTATTTTCTAGTTGGATGTTTGTCTTTTGCTTATTCGTTTGCAAAATCTCTTTACATAATAAAAATCTGAATAGTCATATATGAGATATAGTGTCTTGCATAGAGAGAAACAGGATTTTAGAGTCAGACAAGCTCTGCTTTGCCACTGAATACCTTGTGTGACTTACTAAACCTCTCTGTGCCTCCCTTTCATCTTTGGGACTCATGACAGACGAAGAATGAGGAAGCTCCAGACTTCCTGTTCTGAGCGCTGCTGTATAATGAATTGTTTTAAAAGGAGCCCCCAAGACCCCTTCCTCTTCTTAGTATATGTTTATTCTGACTTTCTCTGACTTTGCACTGATCTTTGCACTATCTCCTTCCCCTAGGCATATTGTGGATAGTAGATTTCTCTCCTATCTGTTCTCTATCTTCCAAGACTTCTTCACCACCACAGATTCTCAATGGCGTCTTTTCTTGTTTTCCAGGGCTATTGCAGATTATTCTTTTCATGAGTACTTTTTTCTGCCAAGTTAAAAAAATTGGGGAATGAGGAGAAAGAGACTATGGTGCTTAATCTGCCACTGGGATTAAATCTCTGGAAACAGTTGTTAATTACAATTTGGTTTTCTGTTCAACACAAAATGAAATTGGAAAAATGGAATCCATGTTTGTTCTGTTTGTTAAAAACCCTCAAGTTGATTGAATGTTTTGTGAGTGCTTTTCCTTTACTTGACAATTTGTCAAGAATGTCATTTATAAATTTTCTTCCCATTATAACTTATTGATATCTCCTCATGGTCCATAAATGGCCAATCTTTAATAAATGCCGCATGGTCATGGGAAAAGGCACATGTCTGAGACATGAAATGGTGGCACTGAACATGTCAGTTAAGTCACTTTTACTAAGTATGCCTTTCTCAGCCCTCATGCTTTTATTTATGCTTGGCCCGTTTGTGTTGAAGATTGGGAGTGGTTTATTAAAGTTTCTAAATATTATCAGGTTTCCAGCCGGACTCTACCCATTTTAGGATGGTCCCTGTTGCATGAGCATTGCTAGTTAATGGCTTCAGCTGCAGCCCGGGTCCTCTTGTTTAACCCAGATCAATGTGGCCATGGAACACATAGTTAGGACTCTAAGCCTGGAATCGGGATTTGCTCCCAGCTCTTTCACTCTCGAGTTGTGCAACCCAGGGGCAAGTTATTAAACCTTTCTATGTCTCAGTGTCCTCAACAGTGTAAACAGGTGCAGCCATAGGAGCCATCTCACAAGAGTTTTATGAAGATCAGATAAGTTAGTGCATATGAAACCCTTAGAACAAAGTCTGGCACACAGGAAACACTCTATAAATATTAGCTACTTTTAATATCTTCCTTATGTTTACCTGCAGCGCCTTGGGATTCTGTCATTATATTTTCAGTCACTCTCAGCCTCCATTGTTGCTGGGAATTCATTGTTTCCTATACCCATGAGCCTTTTAGGCAGACATTGCTTTGCAGGTACTAAGGATGCCTTTGGAACCAGAATGCCTACCTTTAGATCTGCCCATTTAATGCAGAGAGAAGCTCCCCGCATTCCTCAAGGTCTTTGCTTCTATTTTTTTGTTGTTTTTTTTTTTTAGATGGAGTCTTGCTCTGTCACCCAGGCTGGAGTGCAGTGGCACCATCTTGGCTCACTGCAACCTCCACCTCCCGGGTTCAAGCGATTCTCCTACATCAGCCTCCCAAGTAGCTGGGACTACAGGCCCACGCCACCACTCCGAGTTAATTTTTGTATTTTTAGTAGAGACAGGCTTCACCATATTGGCCAGGATGGTCTCAATCTCTTGACCTCAGGTGATCCGCCCACCTCAGCCTCCCAAAGTGCTGGGATTACAGGCATGATCCATCGCGCCCGGCCTTTGCTTCTATTTTTTATCATGCCTCTTTCCATAGGATGTTCACCATGACAAGAGCCATGGAAGAGGCTCTTTTTCAGCACTTCATGCACCAGAAGCTGAGGATCGCCTATGCCATACACAAGCCATTTCCCTTCTTTGAAGGCCTCCTAGACAATTCCATCATCACTAAGACAATGTACATGGTGAGTCATGTTGAACCCTTCCATGGCAGCCCAGCCCCCACCAAACATGCCTGGTTATTAAGGTCTCAAACCACAAACCACCAGGGCTTCCAGAGTTTGGAAGGCCCAGCCCAGGCGTGTTCATTATCACAGAAGGTGAGGGTGGTTAGGAGAGAGGGTGTCGTAGGGCTATATTGGTTTCTAGGGTGTCATTGCTGTAACAATGACTACAAACTAGGTAGCTTAAAACAACAGAAATATGTTCTCTCAGTTGTGGAGGCCAGAAGTCCAAAATCAAAGTGTTGACAGGGTTGATTCCTTCTAGAGGCCCTGAGGAGAATCCGATCCCTGCCTATCTCCTAGCTTCTGGTGGCTGCTGGAAATCCTTGGTGTTCCTTGCCTTGTAGACACATCACTCTAATCTGTTTTCATCTCTACATCACCTCTCTTTTGAGTCTTCAACCTAATCTTCTGAGGACACCTGGATTTAGGGTCACCCTAATCAAAGATGATTTTGTCTCAAGATCCTTAACTTAATTACAACTGCAAAGACACTTTTTCCAAGTAAGTTCACATTCACAGATTCTGGATGGATATATCTTGGCTGAGGGGGCACCATTCAACTCACTACAGGCATCATTCCAATTTATAACAGCTTATATTGCTCACAGTGCATTCTGATGTGAGACAGGCAGGCACTGGAAGATATGCTATGTGGACAAAGTGGACCTGTTTTTATACAATTTTGGTTTTTAAAAGCATTTATTGAGCCCTAGACTCAGGGAAGTGCCAGCAATCTTCCCTAGTCTCAGTCTGGTTGGCCCCAACTTCCTCTTCAGATCACAGCCCAGAGAGCGCTCCTCAGAGACATCTCCTTGGCCCACTCATCTCATTAAGACCCCTTAGTTATTCAGTTCCATAGCAATCTATGCTTTCCCTCCATAACACTACTCTCAATTGTAAATGGGTATTTGTGTTTATTAATGCCCATCTTCTCCACCTGACAGTGCCTACCCCGCCCCCCAAATATAGGCAGCTCTATGTTGGTCTTATTCAGTGCTGTGTACCCAAAGACTTGCTGACTGAGCCTAGTAGATGTTCAATAAGTATTTGCAATCAGTTCTCTCTTGCCATATTTCTCCTTTTGTCCATCCTCTCAGTAAGGAAAATTCTCAGGGAGACTTCTCTGTGGCTGGAATCTATTTGGGTCATTTCAAGTTTGAAAGACACAGAGAGAGACTGAGCAGAGGCTAACAAAAAACCAGCAGAATTGCCTCTGTGACCATCACTAGAACAACTGCTGAAGCATCCTGCCCAGAGCATTAAAGAGTCAATTACATAGTAGCATCCTTTAATTCCACTTTCCTTCCTTCAAATTTCTCTCTCGTCTCAAATGTGCCTGAAAGTTGGATTTAGAATATAGACTTACCTTAAGAAAGCTAAATTATTTATTTTTGTTGATAGTCATCCAAATATGTGTAAAGTGTCAAAAATAAGCATGGTAAAATTGTGACCATTCTACCTTAGAGAATGTGACTATGACTATATATTTTATGTTAAATTTCTTCTTAAAAGAGTAAGGTAGCTTTCTTAAAACTTAGAAAATCATAAATGTATAACTTCCCATTTGATTTTATAGTCGTTTATAAAAACCTTCACTCCATTTTTTAAGGAATCTCTGGAAGCCTGTAGAAATTTGGTCCCTGTATCCAGAGTGGTGCACAACATTCTTACCCAACTGGAGAGGACTTTTAACCTGTCTCTTCTGGTGACATTGTTCAGTCAAATTAACCTGCATGAATATCCCAATCTGGTGACGATTTACAGAAGCTTCAAACGTGGTAATGAGATTTCTCAAGTCCTTTTTGCATTTAAAAAGTTGCTATGGTAAAAGTCGGGGTTTACTTCTAGCCCTGTGGAATATGCATATTAATCCCCCACTTTCTCTCTGGGGAGGAATGGATCATATTCTCTCATTGGTACAGCTGCAGGAACAGCCCCTTGCTAAAGCTGATTCCAGCTCTCTAAAATGAATTTCTAGAGGACATAAACATTTCTTACGTGTGCTATGAATATGGAAAAAATCATAGAATTTGGCATACTGGACAATCTATAGGGAATGCATAAAGTGACAGAAATGCAAAGTTACAGAGATCATGTCTAGTGGAAGGACAAGGAGAGTCAGGGAGGAAGAAAAATGAGTAAGGATGGATAATACTAAGTATCTTTTTATGGTGCATTATCGCAAACACTTTGTTTGATTATCTCATGTCATCTTTAAAACAACCCTTTGAAGTCATTTTTATCCCCATTTGACTGACAGAGAAATTAAAGCCCAGAGGTAATTTTCCCACAATTACTTGTCGGTTAAGAAGCAGAGCAAGAGTCCTACTTGGGTCTCCCAATACCAGGGCCCAAGATTTTAACCACTAGTCCAGACAGGGACAGCTGGAAGGCAGATTGTAAAGTTAGAGAAGGGAAGAAAAGTAGCTACAGAGAAAGGGAGGGAACCGCAGATGTAGCTGCAGAAAGAGAGGGTCTGAGAAAGAATGGAGCATGAAGTACATGGAGAAAGAAAAGAGATTGGATAAATAAAGGAGCAGGAAAAAGAACAGTGGCAGAGCTGGGAAGAAAGCAGCCAGGGCAAGAGAGCAGGCAGTAAAGTCATTTTAGGTTGGAAGTAAAACACTGGCCAAATCATATGTTCACTTACCTTGGAACAACAAGTGAAGGACCACCAGCTCACACTGGATTGTGATATTTTCATTAGTGGAATCACCATTGTTGACAGTTCCTCCTTTGCTCTCTGACACTTCACCATCAAAAGGCTTCCCCCTAAAGGGGGCGATGATTTCTTGAGCTAAAGGAACAGTGAAAGGGGCAAGTCTACCTCCAGGTAGGGCCCACTGTCCTGGCAGCATACGGACAACATTAGGAGAGGCATGGCCTTAAAGGCTGTGCTAAGAACACCTGAAAGCCATGGAGACCCACACACTGATGTGCCCCTAACCTGGCTGAGCTTCAGTCATCTTCCAGGATCTTCAACTTGATGATTTTGTTCTGGATCCCTTTCCAAAATTTGAAGTTCCTTTCCTTTTTCCATTCACTGGTTGAGACCATTTTACTTCTGAAATAAATTATGGAGAAGAATCTTAAGAGAAACCCAGCACTAGCCATGCAAGGGAATAGCATGTGGAAAGCCAAGGGTCTGGGGTATTGTGGATGGGAGAGAAAGCTGGGATGTGACCAGATCACAGGGTACAATAGAAGCCGCAGAAGCTGACTCTGCAGAAATGAGCAGAAACCAGAATATAAATGTCCTCATACACCCTGCTGAGGAATTTTTGTTTTCTCTTATTTGCTTTGGGGAAGTGTGATCTGTTTATTTATTAAAACAGAGACCTCTTTTAAAACTATAGCATGTTCATTATTGACTAAATCATATGACACCAAGATTAAAGAAAATTAAATCCCTGCGTACAAACCCAAACTCAACTTTTCTGTGTGAAACCATTTTGGTATTAGATCGGGGCTTAGATGCAGTTATCGTGGCACTCAATGCCCAAACCAGATAAATAAAATAGGGGCCACAAATGGATAATGATGACAATGAATCAGTTCTCTGCACCTGGGGGGATGAACAATGAATAACTCCATGGCCCCATCCTGTTGGAAGGCATGAATTAAGAAATCCCCTTCCCCAAGTAATTCTGAGTCTCCAGGGTACTGATGTGTGTCTCTTCACCAATCCCAGTTGGCGCTTCCTATGAACAGCAGAGCAGAGACACACCAATCCTACTTGAAGCCCCAGCTGGCCTAGCAGAAGGAAGCTCCCTCCATACCCCACTGGCGCTGCCCCCACCACAACCGCCTCAACCAAGCTCTTCACCCAGTGCGCCAAGAGTCAGTGAGCCTGGAACATCCTCACAGCAAAGCGATGAGATCCTGAGTGAGTCGCCCAGCCCATCTGACCCTGTCCTGCCTCTCCCTGGACTCGTCCAGGAAGGAAGAAGCACTCCAGGTAAGAAGCAGATCCCATCCAACACCCATATATCCTCAGCCTAAGGTGCCTGTGCCATGTTGCCTCCAATCCCAGCGTCTTGACTTGTATTGTCCTAGTTCTTCTCTTGCAACCACCTACCTATACACAACCCTTTTCACGAGGGACTATGAGCACTGCCGGAGAGTGGGTAAGACCTAGAGTCTAGAAAACCTGCTTCCCACACCTGTGACATTCCAACCCACTGCCCTTGTGCCTTGATGCTCTATCTGTTCCAGGCACTTTTAACATTCACTCTCCTCCCTGACATCCAGTCCCTGTAATCTGTAATAATTTCCTTTCCTCCTTCAGTGACCAATGATGAGTTAACATCCAAAATGAATGAGGAAGACGACTCAGAAGAGATGCCCAGCCTCCTCGCTAGCACTGTGCCAGGTAATACCGACTGGGGCTGATACAGCTTAGCTCAAGGTGGCTGTGAAGGGAGAACATGCATCTGCCAACCAAGAGGCTATGGTGGGAACCATGGGAAAAGGAACTGGGCGTGACAAAGGAAAAAAAACAGAAGGGGCCAATTCACCAATGCAGTAATGCAAAACAAACCAACAACAAAAACACCATTCTGAATTGACAAGTAACCTGTGTAACACTCACACTAGTGACCCTTAGCTGATTCCTCACCCCCACCTGATTATGGGGGCCTTTGAGTTTCAACATTCTTCATTTTTATGTGGTTTGGATTCCAAGAGCAATGATCAAAATTACTGGAAAAGATGATAAAATGTCTACAGGTCTACTAGACCTGATATTTAGCTTCTAAAATTGTATCACTTGCCCTCCCCAAACCATTGTCACAATGGAGTTTGATTACATTAAATAAAAGAATGGTATGATATTGGGCATTGTCAAAAATGATATCATGGATCCCAAGCTCTCCAGTACTGAGAAGAGGGCTCCTCTTCGATCCAAATAATATTTCATCCACTCCTCTAATACCTACCATCCAAAAAGGTTAACATAATCAGGAAGCTAACAGCAATGGAAGAACAAGTGGCTAATTGAGAGTGAATGGTTGCTTACTTTCCCACTCCATCCCATCCTTCCCTGGGCCTTGGTTGCTCAGTTACCCTGTCATTTTTACTTGTTGGAATAGAGCATTCTCTTTCCTCCTCATTCTGGTCCCTGCTTGCTGTTCCTAAGATCTGAAACTTTTTCTTCCTCCGTTCAGTGGCCAGTGACAGCCTAATCTCCCAAATAAAAGATAAAGAAGACCCCCAAGAGATGTCCCACTCTCCGTTGGGCTCTATGCCAGGTAATCTGGTTTAGTCAACCTAAAAGCTTGCCTTTGTTTCTGTGTCTACCGAGAAGAAAGGTCATTCAGATCTTCTAGAGAGGGGGCTCTCCTCCCACCTCTCAATCTTGGCCCAGCTTCCAGTTCACCCAGCACTTGGGAGCTTGAACATGCAGGAGATCTGACCTCTGAATGGATAAAAAGTCCCTGGGGGAGGGCAAAGTCTTGAAAAGGTAGACTTGGATAGGGCCACAGACGATGATGGACAGAGCCCCGCCAGTACCTGTAGGCTTGGACTCCAAATACCACAAAGTGCCTGAAAGGGAAGCATTCACCTGCCACAAGGGGTTGTGGCAGGAACCCCAGGGGAAAGCACAGGGAACTGAGTCAGGCTGGACTGTTTGACGGAGCCACTCTTCTGAGCCTCTTCAATAAAGCAGTGCTCAAAACTGCTCTGTCAAAATGCAAAGCAAATGAATAAAAACACTGTGTGGCCCTAATAGTGAACTGGTGCAGCAGACATGGATGGTCCTCCTTCCAAGCCCCAACCTGATGGTGGGGAATCTTCACTTTCAACCCTGGTCATTTCTATATCATTTGGAGTTTAAGAGTTGATATTACTAATATAATTGGAAAGGTAATAAATTATTCCAAAGGTCTAATGACTGCTTGCCACCTGCCTCAGTCACCTATTCCTATGCAGGCCAGCATTTGAGACCAATCTCATAGCAGTGTGTAAAGAAAAAGGTGACAGCTTTATGTGAGATGGGCCTTTATTTGTAATGGCTTCAAGTCCTGTCTTTCTTTGTGCAGCAAAAACTAGCAGAGCTTTATATATCTTTGCTGTTAACAGGTGCTAGCAAGCACAAGCTTGCTCCTGCTTTCTTCAAACAATCCTTGTATACAGAAATATATAAGGCACTGAGCCTTCTTTGCTATTTCTCCAAATAAAATAACCACAGATAGAGCAGTTAAAGAATATCCATACATAGACATCAAAGCAGTAAGATGTATTTTTCATGCAGCAAAGACATTCCCCTCCATCGTGGACATCAGATTTCAATGTCACCACTTTCCACTCTCAGCTTCATTCCTTGAGCAAGGGCTGCTGGGAGCAGCAACTATGTGACTAGAGTCATGATACCCAGCACAGTTTATTTCTGCAATTTCCATTCATTGTACCCTCTTCACTCACTTCTCTCCCATCCATAAGATAATCTCTCTAAAAGGATCAGACTGAGCCTCTGCTGTGGGGCAGTTATGCCCTAGTTCCCTGTGATGGTCACGCAGGTAACAATAACCACAAACTAGTAAAAATCAAGACAGAGCCAGGGAATTCTTAGGGCTAGCAGCTTCCCAGCCCTGGGCTGCATGTACTTTCTACTTTTCTAGTTCTTCCATTGACTTCCCTCAGCACTTTCTCTTCACTGGATCTGAGCTCTGAAGTGACTTATATTTCTTTTGTCAGAGATAAGAGATGATTCTCCAGAACCAAATGACCCAGAAAAGCCCCAGGAGGTGTCCAGCACACCTTCATACAAGAAAGGTAAGGAAAGCATTTCTCCTGTAGAGGTCAGAAGGGTGAATTCTGAGTTGCTTTCTGTTTTTCTGTGTCTTGTCAAGAGCACCACTATGTGACCACAGTCCTGATGCCACACGCAGTTTGTTTCTGCTATTTCCATTCACTGCATCTTCCAGAAAGGCCTTTATGAAAATTATCAGGAAACCAGAAGGCATTTGGGGATATTGAAATATGCCATTGGAATTGCCTTTTCTGAAAAAAATCAATCTCCTATATTCACAACTTCTGTGTTAATTGCACTTCCGTCTTTAACTGAAAGTTGGTTCCCCAGAGAGGAACCCACTTCCTCTTAAGACATGGCTGGGCATTCTCTGCCATCCATCACTCACACCTCATGGTGAGAGGCAGGTTAGATGTCCATCCTTTGCTGCCTACTGACCCCATCCAGCCCCTGCCTCCCTGATCCTCTCCTTTGAGGCTTAACCATTCAATTAAAATGTTTGCTCACTCATCATCAATATCATCCAATAATTTCCCCAATAATCCTTTCAAAGGTTGTTTTTCTGTCATTTCAAGTCACAGCATCATCCTAGATGCCTTCAGGGTACACACGGATAACAGACAACTCTGTTATCCAATACTCTGGCCCCTCAAATCCTTCATCTTCTCATTTTCCATGACTTTTTCCTCCACCAATTCTTGGCCTCCCATATCCAAAGGCAACCTATAGACCCTATCATCATTCAAATCTGGCTCGATTTCCCAACAGTTAATTTCAGAATTCCTTTTTTGATACCTATCCTTGAGCTTTTCTCCTTCTGTAGCTATCATTCAACCTCTGATCACTCTTTTTCCCAGTCCAATTCTAACAAACAAACCAAAAAGAATCAAAAACATGTTTTTCTGTTCTTATTTATTTATTATTTCCTCTAAAGTTGTCCTTCAACCTCATTTGGATCACCAGTCCACTGGCCTTTCCTCCTTCCAAGCCATCATCTGCTTTTCTTTGCTGCCCAGCTTTTTAACATTGACACTAATTCACAGTCCAAGAGTCATCATTTCAGTAACCTATTGCCATTATCTTAAACCTGCCTTTCCTCTCTGCCTTTTCCTGGAACTCTCTGGCAAGTCTTGGAAGACCCTACTTACCTACTTCCTGTACACTGCATCTGACTTCCTGTACACTGCATCTGACTTCCTGTACACTGCATCTGACCAGCTTGCACTGCATCAGCTTCCTACACCATCAGCTTCCTGTACACCATCTAAAACCAGCGGTGCTGGGAAGAAATTCCCAAGCAGGGCTCTGACTTCCTGTACACTGCATCTGACTTCCTGTACACTGCATCTGAAAGCCAGCAGTGCTGGAGAGAGTTCCACAGCAGGGCAGAGTACACTCGCTGGTCTTCATGGTTCCAGCACAAATCATCTCTCCTTACTGTGTGACAATGCTACTTCCTGCAATAATGCTTTCAAACCTCAAGCTCTATTTTTCAAACCTCTGACCCCCTCACCTCCTGCTTTTTGCTCAATCAATGACTTTCCCTCCTGCACCATAAGCAGATATCAGATGAGAATCCCCTTATTTGTGCTGCTAGCCCTACAAACCCTAACTATATCTTTCTTCTTCCTCTCTGAGTTCCCTCCTTCTCTTCTAAGACAATCCTTCCACCTCATCTTGTAGAATCCATGATCCCTTCTCTCTCAAGTATTCCTTACAGCAGTATCTCTCACACAAGAATCTGCATTCAGACAATAATTACATGTATCATAACTCATTAAAAAATGCTTTATCTTGATTCTCATCTCACTTCAACTACTTCCATAGCTCTCTTTCATTTCACAACCAAACTTCTAGAAGTGAGTTACCTAAACTTCCTGTCTCCATTTCTTCATTTCTCCTTTTCCTCTGTCATTTTAGAGTCCATCTTCCCCTATTATTCCCTGAAATAGCATCACCTAAGGTCACCAGTGACCTCCTAGCAATGTGGTTTGAAGGCCAAAAGTAAAAGCTGAATATCACTGACATATAAGATTGGGAGATCAATGTTTGTAACTATAAAACATTATCCTTTCTTTTTAGGAAAGAAAAGAAAAAGATATGTCTGGTCAACTCCAAAAAGGAGACATAAGAAAAAAAGCCTCCCAAGAGGTAAGATGAGAGTACAAGAGAAAGCTGGAGGCTGGAAACAGCTCATGCAGGGCTTACAGGTCAAGCTGTGGAGGGTTGAATTTTATTCTAAATGCAATGGGAAGCCACTGAAGAGATTTAGTCAGTGAAGTGACACAATCCAAGCTCAATTTTGCTACAGTGTAAAGAATGAGTTGGAGCTGGGAAAGAATGGAGACAGGACAGCCATTTTGGGGCAGGTGCCATGAGAGTTCTTAGTGGCTTGGATTCAGATCTGACAGTGGAGATGCAGAAAAGAGTGCCAATTCAAGATCAGTTTTGCAGGTATTGTTGACAGGATTTGAAATATTAGCTACAGATGAGAAAGAGAGAAAAATCAAGGCCCATTCTTCAATTTCTGGCTTAAATGAGTAAGTGCTAATTCCCATTGCTGAGGGAAGATGTAAATATACTGGGGGGATAACTTTTAGAGTTCAATATTTGACCTGTTCCTTTAGAGGTTTCTGCTGGCCATCTATGCAGCTGTGCATAGACGTGTGTTTTGTCAAGAACTGTAAAGGGTCTGAGATGTTACTCCACTTGCATTGGTATGTCCATATATATATATGAGTGTTGCAGGAACACAAGGTATTTGGGCCAGGGAAAACAATTCTTTACTGATATTCACAACCAGCTCATCAGCCAGAGCAACACTGCAGTGTCTGTCTCCCATACACAAACCAAAGGCAGTGCTAAGAGAGCTAATGGAATCTTTCTATTCAAAATAGACTATAACTCATATATAAGGGATGTAGAAATGATGGATTTTCTGTTTAGATACTTGAGAGGGACAGCCATCATCCTCTCCTCCTGAAAGGAGAAGAAAAAACTTTGCTGCTTTGAGATACAATGGAAAAGATCCTGATTCCCAAGGTCCCCATCCTAACCTTTGGAATTTAAATGCATCTTTCCAAAGGCCAGAGAAACTCCAGGTGTTGCTGACTTTTACGACCTAAAGATATCTCCAAGTTCGGGGCTTTATCCCTTGTGATATATAGATACCTAGGGAAAGACCACTGCAGTTGTCCTGGCACTTTAGGATTTAACCTAGGAAGCTAGTCCTGGGTAAACCCATCTGGACATCTCAGGAGATAAGAGAAGTTTTATTATCCCTTTAGATCAGAGCAATTAACTAGAAAAAGAGCTATAGCTCTAATTCTTGTGGTATGTGAAGAGTACAATGTTTCCTGGGAAGTGAAAGCAAGTATCTCCTATATTTATATTGTATACATTTCCATGTCTCGGGGGTTAGGGCTTTTTACAGGAACACTGAGAAATCAGGAAGTTATATTCTCCACAAATACGGCAATTTGGCACTCATGGAAAAAGTCTGGTCCATATATATATATGAGTGTGTGTATACATATATATATATATGTATCATCTGCAGATATATATCATCTGCATCCAGATATATATATATATATATATATCTGGACCTGATATATATAAAAATATAAATATATATATTTATATTTATGAGTTATCAGTAAAATAAAGATATTCTGATCTATGGGAGAAGAAAAGAGAACTACAGACCTAGCCCTGCTCTCAGAAATCCCAGTGGAAGAGGAATCTAGCAAGGCAGACTGAGGGAATGAGACCAGTGAAGACAGAGGAGCACCAAGAAAGAACACATTAGCAAGCCAAGAGGGAATGGCTGACTATACTGAAAGACTAAGATAAATTCAGAGAAGAGGGCCTTGAGTTTGGTCAGAAAGAATCACTGGAAAATTTAAGAAAAATTTTGGTGATGGAGGCAGGAGCCAGTTGTATGGGGAGCATAATGAATGGGAGGTGATAACATATGTAGACAACTCTAGCTATAAAGGGAAACAAAGCAATAGATGGCAACCTAAGCCAGTGGCTTAAAGCTCCTTTTCCCTGACTTAGTTTACCCTTAATATGATCCCAGTGTCCAAAATCACAGGGCTGGTGTCCTTTTAAGATACTTTACAGAAATGATTCCATTCTATGAAAAGTAAGTGACCTTCCTGGGCAGGAAGGAGAAACAAGCTGCTTTCTCCCCCATTCTACTTACTAGTCAATGCCCTCTCACCATGTTGTGTGTGTTCTCTATGGGCCTCCTTGGTTTAGTGTAAACTAGTCAGGTTATTCAACTCACACTCCTGAGCTTTGTCAAACACTCTCACAACTTCAATTACCACCTTTACACTGATGGCTCCCAAGTCTACATCTTCAACTCAGGTTTCTCTTCAAGAAACACATAGCCTGCTGCACACTGGGTATCTTTGTTTGCAAGTCTCCCATTGACACTACAGTCTCAATATACCTGAAATTAAATGCATCTTCTTCACCAAAAACCTAGTCTTCTAAGTACCATTCAGACATTTATTCAACAAATATGCAATGAGCACTAACTGTATATACCTATTCTGAAAGCTGAAGACAGTTTTTATTTTAAAGAGAGAAAGCAAGAAAGTGAGCAAAAAAGAAAGGAGAAACTCATGGAGCTTATACATCCTGGCTGGGGGAGAGAAAGAATGTAAACTAGAAAGCACATAAACAAGATAATTTCAAGTAGTGATGCAGGATGGAAGAAAATAATGGATACGGTTACAATAGTGACTTGCAGTTTGGGATGGGAGTCACTTTGGATTGGATAGTCCAGGCAGAGGGACTCAAAAGTACAAAGAACCTGAGGCAGAGAGGAACGACCAGTGTTGTTGGCAATGATGAAGAAAGAAGGTGGTAGAAAGTGAAAAAGTAGACAAGAATCAGATTATGTAGGGTTTTACAGGCCCTTGGGAGCCTTTTGTGGTTTATTTAACTTGAAATGAGGAACTTAATCTACCCAGGCGCCAAGCAAAAACCTTAGTCATCCATGACTAACTGAACTCTATTAGCATATTGACAAGGTCTATTGGTTCACCCTCTTCTTTTCTACATTAAAATCTGATTAGTTTATTTCCATGCTTAAATCTTGTCCATGGTCTCATATTGCCCTTAGGGTAGTGTTCACTTAATGTGATTGTTAAAGCTCTCTCCAGTCTAACCCATGCCTTACCCTCCAACTATTAATGTATCTCTTTCCACTCAAAACTCCAGTCAACCACTCTGAGCTTTCATTTCCTCTCATTTCATTTCTCTCCCCTTTGATCCTTGGCATGTGCTATTCTTTTTGGATGCTATATTCTGAACCTACACTACTCTCCATAAATGTTTAGTTATCTCCTTTTCATCAGTGGTGTTGGCTTATGTCCATCTTAGGAATGCGTACTCTGACCCCTAAATTAGCCAAGCTGATCCCACAGTTTCTACAGTACCCAGCACTGGCTCTTTTGGAAGATTCCAAATACTCTATTGTAATTACTTATATAATGTGTCTCTTCTAGGCTAGATGGTAATGTCCTGGCACAAATGAGCTATTATTTTTTAAATGAAAAACAAATGAAAGAAACCATATTTTCTGTAACCCCAAATTTGAGTAATGATCTGACAGAGGATAGTTTATGAATTTATTATTGTGTTATGAAAAGGGGTCATAGACACTATGGGCACCACGTGGTGTAGACACAAACTAAAGGTTATTGGAGGGAAATTTCCAATACAATTCTCCAAATTCTTATTATCCCACATTTAGGGCAGACATAGGTAGTCTGCACACCCCATGTCCAACAGCCCAGTACTGAGATGCCCACTGCCACAGTGCTCTACACATTATAGGATTAGGGAGATAGGGAATGTCTATGCAACCATACAATTATGAACACTCCCTGGTCAGAGAAGTGACTTTGTTAGAGAGGAGAAACCTCTGGAGTTGGGGGATGGTGTCAGAGGGTCAGTTCTGTTGAAGTACCTCTGACCTTTTGACACCTCTCTGCCAAGCTACCAAAGGGATGCCAGTCTCTTCCAGATTTACCTTTCTTCATATGGTATTTAAATGAATTTTTTCAGGTTTTTTAAAGGAACCATTTTATTTTAAATGTGACAGATGATGTGCTTTAAATTTTCTTTTTTCCAATTTTCCAATATTTTATTAGGGTAAAATACGTATGACATAAAATTTATCATCTCAACCATTTTTAGGTGCATAGTTCAATGGTATTAAAATACATTTGCAATGTTGTGCAACCATCGCCACCATCCATCTCCAGGACTCTTTTATCTTGTAAAACTAAAACCCTGTACCCATTAAACAACTCTCCATTCCTCCCTGCCCGCAGCCCAACAGAGATATTTTTAAGAGTCATATTATTTTACATTTAATCAGCTTTATTTTTTAAAAAATAAAACACATAAAAAGATGTTTCAAAATTGTAAGAGAAAAAAATACATAGTAGTGCTGAAAATATACATACAACACTCTCGTATTTTCTGTAAGTGTTCTCATCTCTGAAACACTCCTTTAGTTATGCAGAGAAAAAACCTAAACTTGACAATGAAAGGCAAGTTTTAGGCTCTATCAGGCTGCCCCACCCCTTCTGGATAAATTTTCAGTAATTTCCATGTTTGAACTTCCCGCCAGCCCTGCGTCCCGCTGGGCTTCCGGTTCCGCCTCGTCTTAAGGGTTCACCCATGCCTTTTCCTCCGGAAGTGGCCTGCGGATATCACGGTACTTGCATGTGGGAGGGGTGGCTGCATAGTCTGTGTCCTTTCTAACCTGCAGAGAAACGTTCTTGTTCAACAGGACAGTGGGCATCCTGTGGGATCAGCTTCTAAAGTCAGCAGCCAGTGAAAATTGTGTTCTCTTTCCACAACGAAGCAAACTCACCTCTGCATCCTCTGGCATTGCACCTCCTCTGGGTCTCAGCCTCACCTTCCATCTCTCGCTCATGGTAGCCGCCTTCTTGGCAGGGTCCTTGCCTCTCAGGTTTTTTAATACCTTGCACTTTGCCCACTGAAGGCACCTAGAAACTTTTGGAACCTCCTGTACCATACACGGGCCCTGGGGAACCTGGAGAGGTGCTTTGTAAGACACTTCCTCTCCACCTAGACCAGACTGTGTGGCCACCTTGTGGTGTGGTCAACACAACGAAAATCAGGAAATAAGCTCTAGGATTTCCGGAGATTTATCTAGTTGATTGCAACAGGTCATACCAGGAGTGAAAGCAGATGGTAATTTGGGGAAACAAAGAAAGGTACATGTAAGAAGAAGGATATAGGCCGGGCGCGGTGGCTCATGCCTGTAATCCCAGGACTTTGGGAGGCCAAGGTGGGCGAATCACGAGCTCAGGAGATTGAGACCATCCTGGCTAACACGGTGAAACCCCATCTCTACTAAAAACACAAAAAATTAGCCAAGCGTGGTGGTGGGCACATGTAGTCCCAGCTACTTGGGAGGCTGAGGCAGGAGAATGGCATGAACCTGGGAGGCGGAGCATGCTGTGAGCCAAGATCGCACCACTGCACTCCAGCCTGAGTGACAGTGTGAGACTCTGTCTCAAAAAAAAAAAAAAAAGAAGAAGAAGAAGAAGAGGAGGAAGGATATAATTATAGAGAAATCGCAGGAAAAAAGTGAAGTACAGGAGTACAGAGATCGGAAAGGGTGGGAGTTGGGAGCATGAGAAAGGAAGTCACTGACTGGGACAGTAGGAGGCTCGCTGAAGACCCCAATTGAAACTACTAACAAGTCATTATTTGGTCAGATGCAGCCTCACCTAGACATGGAATCCAAAAGAAGCTCAAAGTGGTGGATCAGGTTCCCCAAAAGAAAGATGACTCAACTTGGAACTCCACGGTAGTGACAAGGGTCCAAAAGGCGAGAGCTGAATGTGCCCGAAACTCCAGATCAGAGGGTAAGACTGATGATGGAATCTGCCATTTGAATGGCTCAGTGTGGGAGGGTCTGTCCTGAAGCAGGTACAGGGTTAAGTAGATACGTAAAGTCAATAGAAAGAGGAAAAAGTACAGAGAATGAGGATAGGATATGACAAGAGAGACAAAGAAAGCAAGCATCTCTTGCATCTGAAAAGTTTTTGTGGAAGAAACAGACATGTTCACAGGGCAGCTGTGGCCTGGGGCAGCAGCTGTCAAATTTTTTGGTCTCAGGACTCCTTTATGCTCTCAAAAATTATTGAGGACCCTAAAGAGCTTCTGTTCATGTTGTTTATCTCTATCTACGTGTACCTTATTAGAAATTAAAACTAATAATTTTAAAATATTAATTAATGTAAAAGTAACAATAATAAACCAATTGCCTGTTAAATCATTTTATGAAAAATAAATATATTTTCTAAAACCAAAAAAAGTTAGTGAAAAGAGTGACATCATTTTATGTTTGTGCAAATATCTTTGATTGTGAGTGAGCTTTATAAAAAGACAGCTGGATCCCTATAACTGTTTCTGCATTCATTTGTAATATGTTGCCTTGATTGAAGGATAGAAAGAAAATCTGGCCTCACACAGATATCTAGTTTAAAAGGGTGAAGTAATTTAATAGTCTTTGAGATATCTGTGGATATTCGTCTTTAATACTACACCAACACTCAACAAGTGATAGTTTCTTAAACATTAGTTGTAATGTAAAATTTGAAACCATATCAATTAACTTCATACTCTGTTACAATAAAATACATTAATCCATCTTGCATTTTGAATGGACCTTCTACTAATGCAAGATTTCATAATAGTACAGCCGTTTGGAAAATGTACATTTGGAATTATACAATGAGCTTGTAACTCAATCACACAAGTGTTTTCTTGAGGCCACTGTGGTACTTCAGGATGCAATAGAAATGCTTTATATGTGCTCTTCAGGTTTTCACATAGAATATTAAGATGTAAGATATGTACTCAAGGGTAGAAATTTAATAAAATTAATAATTTTTACTGGCTTACCACGAACATTCTCAAGTGAATCTTGCTTTTATTTTTATTTTTTGGTACAGTGAGCAGGTGGCAATGAAGGATGCAGTGATTCCTGCTGAGGTTTGGGGACACTGCTTTGATGTGTCCTAAGGCACTGGCAGTTTTATCTGCCATTGCTCTTGCTCAATCTGTACAAAGGTTGAAATAGTGAAAAAGGTGGAGAACATCTTATTATGAAAATAATTCTGACCTTGCAAATTTTCTGAAAAGGTTTGAGGGACCTTCTAGGGTCTCACAGACCTTACTTTGAGAGACTCTGGCCAAAGGGTTCAGATAGCTCTACCCCATTGTGGATGTCTTCATTGGTAGAGTAACCACGGCTAACCAACTGTGGTCTGCTCCTCCCCTGAGTGGCAGACAGGCACAGTGTCATGAGCGGCACCAAATCTCTTGGTAGATACATTCTTAGGAGGGTAAGACCTGGAGCCTCCAGGACACTCAACTTCAAAGTGTGCAAGGGCCTTCCTGTGTCTCTGGGAGATTCTCCATAGAGCTTCCCAAGGGGCATTTACTAAGATCTTTTGTTTTCCAGAGATCACTGATGACACTTCAAAAATGAATGAAGGAAAGAGGTCCCAGAGGACGCCTAGCACACCATCAAGGGTCACACAAGGTAAAACTTGGAGATCACTAGTCTCAGAGTACAGTCACCAGGAATCTAAATTCAGAGCTGTTTTACACTAAGGCAATATTTCTTAACTTTTTTTTCATTATCACTGTGCTAGAAAGCGCTTCTGGATTTTTTTTTCTTAATCAAGACCCTTCCCATGATATTTTACTACTACAAATGTATGTCCTTTATATGTAATGTATCCATATGTATGTGTGTATATCTGCACTTTATAAGATTTTTCTCAACACTCAAGAATGAGTTTTTCTGCTCTTGGCATCAGTATCAACATTACTGAGAATGAGTGTCCTAAGTATATTCCTGGTACTGTACTGAGAGTACAGCTTGTCCAAAGTACAGCTTGATCCAACCCCTGGATCAAGCTAGAATTCCAATCTCCGTATTTCTCATGTGACCTTTCTGGGAAAATTGAGAAGTGAAAAACTCATTACAAACACACACGTAACACTATGACTGGGCTTGTGTAACTGGTGGAGTTGTGGGCACATGCTGGTAAAATTGTGCCTGTTAATTCACCCCTCACCATCACTACCATTATTCACATTTCTGGAGTAAGTCGATACCACTATCCTTAGAGGGGAGAAAACAGCTGGATATTCTTCTGTTTGCTGGTGATGTGGTCATTGTCACAAAAATCACAGAACTCTCACATGACAAATATGATTTTCAAACAACAAATACCTAATTGTTGTCAGGAAAATTGATTAAATTTTACCACCTTAAAATCTAAATGATCATTTTTAACAGTTTCTCCTATATTGCACTGGCTTATATAGTAGTATTTCAACTTTTCTCATAGATAATTTTATTTTATTCTCACAACCACCCTTGGAGAAGATTGAATGACTTATTCCAATTTAACAGATGAGGAAATTGAGACATGGAAAGGATTAGTGGGTTTTTTCAAGATCCCCTGGGTAAGGGCTGGCTGCCACAGGATTAACGTCCTGGTCCCCAGGAACTCTTTTCAGGAGCCATCATTCTCCATAGAAAGGAAGGGGCAGAAAGAATACTGTCAAACCTATGTCAATTCACTATGGCCCAAAATAGAAAACTGCTTATTCAAAAATTACTTCCTCATTACTTCCAAGATCCTATGGATAACAGAAATAAACTATCTTTGGGAAAATCTCCCAGGACAGGGCATAAGCATAAAGAAGAAACTATTTGGTCTCTGTGGTGTGGATCGATGTTACCTTACTGTTATTACTCCATTCTAGGCCATAAAAGACATCCAAGCCAGAAAAAGCCTTATGCTTTTTAAAATCATGATTTAACTTTTTTTCAACATAGAAAAGTTCCTGGACTTTTCTAAAAGCAGTATACTGTAACCATTAGAATGATGTTGCTGGCTCAGCACAGTGGCTCATGCCTGTAATCCCAGCACTTTGGGAGGCTGAGGCAGGAGGATCACTTGAGGCCAGGAGTTCAAGACCAGCCTGGCCAACACAGTGAAACCCCGTCTCTATTAAAAATACAAAAATTAGCCTGGGGGTGTATACCTGTTATGCCAGCTACTCAGGAGGCTGAGGTGTGAGAATCACTTGAACCCAGGAAGCGGAGATGAGAGTGAGCTGAGATTATGCCACTGCACTCCAGCCTGCATAACAGAACAAGATTCTGTCCCCCCAAAAAATTTTTAATGGCATATTTTAAATGTTAGTTCTCTAGCGTATTTCTGATCCATCTTCATTCAATCCCCAAATTCAATTTCCAGGTAAAATGGAGTACTTTTTTCACATAGGTCACATGGTTTTCTTGCATTCTCAAAGTGATGGGAAAACAGGAAAAAAATTACTTAAAGAAGTATTGACATTGCAGATTTGTAGATCAATATTTGAAGCCATAAAAGATGTGGGACTTTTTTCTTTTTTAGAAGAAAGGAGAAAAGAATATGGCCAGTCAAGTTCAAAAAGAAAACAGAAAATAAAACACCCAAGAGGTAAGCAAGAAAAGTGAAGTGGTTACTCCCTTGGTGTTTATCAAGGCCTTCACCTGACCAGCTGGCATGACCTTCTCTCCAGCCACATGGCCACTCAGTTGTGCCTGGAGCACAGCCAGCTCCAACCTTATTCCCTAGGCCACCCCATCAGTAGACTCCCCCACAAAGGAAGAGAGAACCTAACACCGACTTGGTTTATACCTAGCCTTCTTTTCTCTTATCATAGGGAGGGAATGGGGTTGAGGTGGACACGAGACATCAGACAATTTTGAGATTAGGATTGTTTCCTGTCTAGGGTCAGAGCCCAGAAGAATAGGCACAAGAAACCTAAATCCCCAAGCAAGATTCAGACTTTCAGTTCCAAACTGGGATTAGATTTGGAGTCATAGAGTGTTCAGAACTACCTCAGCCAACCCATGCTTGCTTGCATGTCTACATGCATGTTTCTATTCCAGTGCACAAACTACATTACTTGCAGAATAAGAAACAAAAAAGTTTCATTTTTCTGGTTACTCTGCTTCATCCCACTTTTCTTTTTCTCCACTGTGTTCTCTCCCTCTTCCCTTTCTCTATTCCTTACTTTTTCCCTTCTTGTTTTTTTAAATTTATTTTGTAAATTTTTTGTAGAGACCAGGTCTTGCTATGTTGCCCAGGCTAGTCTTGAAATCCTGGCCTCAAGTGATCCTCTTGCCCTAGCCTCCCAAAGTTCTGGGATACAGATGGGAGCCACTGCACCTGACCCCTTTTTCTTTGTTCTTTTACTCAAAATTATTTACAAAGGGCCTGAGATATGCCAGTCAGTGGGGATTCTCTTGGATTCCGTGCCTTTATGGGAGCCAGCCTGGGAAGGGATCTTGTCCCAGCTGCCAAACATGAATTAGGACACGAGGCTCACTGCTTTGGAAATCCCTCTAATTTTTCTGCTTGTTCCCAGCATCCCTCAATCTTGGGGTTTGGCCTGGAAGGAAAGTGATATCTGCCTGCTTGGCCTTCTCCTCCCTGGCCTCTTCTTCCTGGTTCCCCACCCCACTGCCTCCCTAGGCTGGAGGAAACATACTCTCTGTCATTTTCTGAGTGTTTACTACCAATGACTTATAGGAAAACTTGACATTCAGACCTCCAAAGTTTTCTTTTGATAGGTACAGGTAATTTTTGGAGTTTACAAATTCCTCTTTGCTCCCAACAAATACTGTGCTTCAAGATTTTGTCTAAGCTTGCCAAAATGGCCTCAACTGAGCATGGCTTCTCAGTTCTAGCCAGCATCTTCCCTCCGCCTGAAACCTATTGATGTAATAGTCAGGGAAATCTTTACTATTTGCAAGGATGAAAGATATATACTTCCTCAGCAGAAACCTTACAAGCTAGAAGGGATTGGAGTCTTATCTTTAGTCTCCTTAAACAGAATAAATAACTCTTAGCCAAGAATTTTGTGTCTGGTAAAACTAAGTTTTATGAATGAAGGAGAAATAAAGTCATGTTTAGACAAACAAATGCTGAGAGAATTTGTCACTGCCAGACCAGCTTTATAAGAAATGCCAAAAGGAGTTCTAAATCTTGAAACAAAAGATTGATATGCACCAAAATACAAACTCTGGAAAGCATAAAATTCACAAGGTCTATAAATAACACAATGAAGAAAACAGAGTGTGTAGGTAACAATTAACATGATGACTGAAACAGTACCTCACATCTTGATATTAATGTTCAACATAAATGGGCCTAAATGCTGCACTTAAAAGATACAGATTGGCAGAATGGATACAAAATCACAAACCGAGTATCTGCTATCTTCAAGAGACTCACTTAACACATAAGGACCCATATAAATTCAAGATATAAGGGTGAAAAAAGATATTCCATGCAAATGGAAACCAAAGCAAACAGGAGTAGCTTTTCTTAGATAAAACAGGCTTTAAAGCAACAGTAAAAAAAAAAAAAAAAAAAAAAAAGAAGGTCATTATATAATGATAAAAGGATCAATCCAACAGGAAGATATTACAATCCTAAATTTATATGTAGCTAACACTGGAGTTCCCAGATTCATAAGACATTTGCCACTAGACCTAAGAAAAGAGATAGACAACAACACAATAATAGTGGGGAACTTCAATATTCTGCTGTCAGGACCAGAGAGATCATTGAGACAGAAAGTCAACAAAGAAACAATAGATGTAAACTATACTCTAGAACAAATAGACCTAATGAATATTTACAGAAGATTACATTCTTCTCATCAGCACGTGGAACATTCTCCAAGACAAACCATATGATAGGCCACAAAACAAGTCTCAGTAAGTTTTTATAAATTGAAATTATAGTTTGATGGGAATAACATTGAATCTATAAATTACTTTGGGCAGTATGGCCATTTTCAAGATATTGATTCTTCTTATCCATGAAGATGGAATTTTTTTCCATTTGTGTCCTCTCTTATTTCCTTGAGCAGTGGTTTGTAGTTCTTCTTGAAGAAGTCCTTCATATCCTCTGTTAGCTATATTCCTAGCTATTTTATTCTATTTGTGGTAATTGTTAATGGGAGTTCATCATGATTTGGCTCTCTGCTTGCCTTTTGTTGGTGTAAAGGAATGCTTGTAATTCTTACACTTTTATTTTTGTATCCTGACACTTTGCTGAAGTTACTTACCAGTTCAAGAAGTTTTTGGGCTGAGATGATGGGGTTTTCTAAATATATAATTACATCATCTGCAAACAGAGACAACTTGACTTTCTCTCTTCCTGTTTGAATACTCTTTATATCTTTCTCTTGCCTGATTACCCTGGCCAGAACTTCTAATACTATGTTGAATAGGAGTGGTGAGAGAGGGCATCCTTGTCTTGTACTGGTTTTCAAAGGGAATGCTTCCAGCTCTTACCCATTCAATATGATATGGCTATGGGTTTGTCATAAATAGCTCTTATTATTTTAAAATATGTTCCATCAATACCTAGTTTATTGAGGGTTTTTAACATGAAGGGATGTTGAATTTTATCAAAGGTCTTTTCTGCATCTATCAAGATAATTATGTGGTTTTTATCTTTG